GAGTGTTTGCTGCAGTGGAGACTCACAGGTTTCTTGCCCACAATGACTCTCTCCACAGCCTGGACCTGGGACACATGGTCATCATTGGTACGCAGCTCCCACTTCTGGATTCGTTGGTAGATTCCCACTAACATATCCCGGGGAATATCCTGGCCGTTGTCAACACCTGGAGAGAGAGAAACAGACGGAGGCTGAAGAGTGGAGGTCACAGAGGAAGAGAGAGTGAGACGGAGGAGGAGCGAGGACTGGATCAGTCTAAAATCTGAGAAAGAGAGTGAGCTGGTCAGGGAGGAAGGGTTCTGATTACAATGCGAACTGACCCCTGAGGTTCTTGATGAAGTCTTCTAGCTTCATCTTGCGCTCCGCCTTGACGTTCGGGCTGTACATGTCGGTGTTCAGGAGGATGATGGCGAAGGCGAGGATGAAGATGGTGTCTGGGTTCTGGAACTGCCGCACCAAGGCTGGGTTACACACGCAGTACCGCTGGCTGCAGAGAGAGGGAGAGACTGGGGCTTGACTCAGCACGGCTGACTGGGACAGAGAGAGAGACAGGCAGCAACAGGTAAAGGCCCAGAGCTGAAAAACACACTAGACACGGCGTTATACTCGGAGAGAGTGGGTCAGAGACAGCAGCACTGACGCTGGTGCTGCCCCTCCGCGGTACAAAGGAGATTATAGAAGCAAGCATTCCGAGACAAAAAATTAGGGAAAAGACATTCAGACAGAGAAAAAAGAAAAAGAAAGACAGAGGCAAGACTATACAGGTGGACAGAGACACACAAATAGAGGCAAAACATCAGAAACAGGCAAACAGGAAGGAAAAGACGACAGAAAGGCGAATGATAGTCCGGCAGAAAGCTGCACAGAACCAGAGAAAACCACAGAGACAAGACAGACAGAAGAGACAACTAAGCATACAAACATACTCAGACAGACAGACACGCAATGACACACACACACAGACATATGGACAGACAAACAGACACGCACAGGCAGACACGCACAACAGCGCTGACCGACCTGAAGGCCTCGATGAGCCGCTCCACCTTCTGCGCCTCCCCCTGCACTCGGATCTGAGCCTGGAACTTCCTGAGGGCATCGTCCAGGTCCATCCCAGAGAAATCCATCTCATCTACCACACATCTGAGCACAGGGGAGAGGGGCGTGGCATGGAGAAACACAGGAATATGATGCGGTTAATGTCCTCCATCCCTCTCTCACTCTCCCTCCCTTCCATCCCCCGTTTCACCTCTCACATTCCCTCAAACCAGCTTCTCCAGCAAGACAGGTAATGCTACACAGGCATTGCCAAAGCACTTGTGTTCTGCATTCACAGTGTGCAGAAGACGCTTAGATTACAACACAATATCCCCCTCTCTTCGTCACTCACTCCAGCACATCCTTGTTGAACTGTTTCTGCCTGTTGCCCAGGAATTCCCCGATCATCTGCCGGCTCAAGCCCTTCCTCTCCAGGATGAAGCGGGCGATCCCCACGGGGGTGTCCGACACAAAGCCCCTCTCGATGAGGTACTGGATCCCCTTCTCCGGCTTCCTGCGCGCGGCGGGGGGCAGACAAGAGAGCGAGACAGAAGAGGGGAGAGAAAGGCGGTGTGGGGTTAATACACACACCCGGCGAACTTGCCATGTTACTGTACGCTGCTACTCCACTGAGAGCACACAAACGGACGTACACAGACACGCACCCTCGCTAGCCTCAGACCCAGGGAATTAAACAGAACGACTGCCTTCAAAACACCCAATCATACTCCTCCCTGCCTCTCAATTGAGGGGGCTGCCCGTGGAGCTGCCCCCGCCCTGAGCGCACACACTCTGCCCCCCCGCCCGGCCCGGCCCGGCCCGCACTGACTTGTTGAAGAGGTTGAGCCCGATGCGGTACTGCCTCCTCTGCACCACGTCGTTGTTGAAGGCGGGCGAGTCCCAGCTGTGCCGGCTCTCCCGCTGGTAGGTCTGCTTGCCCAGCGGGGGCATGGGCTCGCGCAGGCTGTCCCGGGACGACGAGCCGGAGCTGCAGTTGATGGTCTCGTTGGAGTTGGTGGTGCTGTTGAGGGAGTCGTTATCCCCGTCGGAGCAGCACGGCTCCCCCGATCCCGAGTTCAGGGCCGACATGCTGTTCCCCAGGCCCCCTCCCGGCGGCGCCGCGGCGACGGGGGTGGGGGGCTGGGGCCCCGCGG